ATTAACACAAAAACCTACAATCTCACTTCTTTTTCAGACATTCCACTTCCATACCTGGTGTTTTTCAGCCTCATTTTAGACTATTTTATTATAGAAGATTATTATTTGAGTTATATATTATCACTGTTTGAAAACTGATTTATTATTCAATAGGCAATTGTAGGACATCCACTCTTAGGCACCTCCAAAACAGAAACACAGTCAGAGTATGCCAGGTGATGGAGGGGCTACAGAAAGGATACATGATGAGGTAAGGAAGAACAGAATATAGCCACCCTCAAAATACACAGCAACTTGAGGAGAGTCATGGCAAGTCTTAAAATCTTCCATGCTTGGACTCTTGTTTACTAATTTACTAATTTCTCTGTAGGATTTTTCCCGTTCTCTTATGGTGATGTCTTCCTCATGGCTGCTACAGTATCCTAGATTCTGCAGCCTGCCTTCTCTCAAAACTTTTGAATCTTTCTATTAATTGCATCCCTTTCTTAGAAAAGAAGATCTTACTAGGGTTGTGGTGACTTTCCCCTATGCAGTATAAAGTCCTCATGTTCAGCCCCTTAATGGCTGTGTGCTTTTGACTGCCTTTGGATAATGGGGTCACAAGATTTTAAAAAAACAAAATCTTGTTAGCATATGCCTAAGGCACCCATCAAAAGAGGACTATAGCATAGGAGGTAACATGAAGTTTCTAAGAAAGACATGCAAGTACCTTCTGTGGACCCTTCAGCATGTAATGATACAGTATCACCATAGAGACTGTATGTACAGAGACTGAACTGAGAAGTCACTCCCACAAAGTTGGGCCATTTCTTTGACTGTCAGGCACTTTCGGTGGAATGTTCAGTATATAATAGTGACACAGTATCACCATAGAGACTGTATGTACAGAGACTGAACTTAAAAGTCACTCCCATAATGTTAAGGCATTTCATTAAAGGCACAGAAGTAAACACTGGCAAATATATATAGCCTATACTAAAAATTTTAAATTCTAAAAGGTGTGAAGAAGTGGGTGTAGTCATATGTTTATGTAATTTAAATAGGCTCAGCTTAGGAAACTATTCTTTGAAGCAAAACAAAATAAACGTACAAATAAAATATTGTGAAAACACTGTTTTTAAAGCTGAGCAGGTCAGCATCAAACATGCACTTCAAAGTAGCGTGTCTTAAGTTTCATAATTGGTATTCGTCAAACTGTGAAACTCAAGAATATATTGACAAATGGCCACAATTTTGGGTAAGAGAACAATCACCTTGAGAAACATTTTCCAAAGTTTCAGTATTCCAATTTTACCAAGGAGAAACAGCCAGCATTATACAATTGTCAGTCTGAGGTTCTGTGCCAATATCATGCATAAAAATTGCAAGCAATGACCAAACAAAATATAAAATACAAAGGACAAATGCTTGAGGAAATGGATACCCCATTTTATATGATGTGATTATTATACATTGCATACCCGTATCAAAACATTTCATGTATCCCATAAATATATATACTTACTGTGTATCCACAAAAATTAAAACAAAAAATCTGAAAAAAAAAATACAAAACACAACAAAGAAAACTTTGGAATAGTACTTCCTTTATGCTGAGTATTTCTACAAAATGCTGGAGCCACATGAAAGAAAAGAATACGTATCTCTTATTCTCTTTCCTTCTGTCAGTGGGCACAAGATAAATATTCCTTCACCCTCCACCTGCCACCCACCAGATACCACTGGCTGCTATCACATAACCACAAGATGAGCCACCTTACAAGGAAGCAGATACCAAGGAAGGCAGAGAAGAGAGATGGAGTTGACTGTCTATAAGCATTCAAATGATCACTGACTTTGTCACTTCTTCTGATGAGTTCTGTTCTTTTTTATTTTTTTTTAACATAAGTGAATTCTGTTTCATAAAAAAAAGGAAATGATGAGAGTGGTACAGGATGGCAGATAAGAAAGGCAATTTAATCCATCTCTTTCCCTCCTACTCTACCCAAAAGGCTATGAACATAATGTATGAGCAAGGATGATAAGAAACACTAGTTTTGCACTAGAAAAACAAAACAGGGACAGAACATTATGAGCAGTCATAATTCCTAATCAGTTTCATTTTTCTATTTCAAGTGCTGTAGATCACTGATCATGTTCTTGCAAATACCCATAAAGTCTACACACTGAAGAAGAACAATTAGGGTAAAAGTGAAAATAAAACATTGATTTAATCTGTTTTGTTACCCACTGGAGGAAGGAATCTATAAAATTATCTAAAGTTGTAATTATGGAGGATTAAGAGACTTGCCCCTACAAAATTATCCAATATTTTCATTATTGAGGATTAAGAAACTTTCCCCAAAACACTTTAAAGTAGCATTAAGTGGTGAAAAAAAAAATGTGGAGAGAAAGAGATCACATGCCTCCCACAGGGTAGTTGTTAAATTAATATTTCTTAAATTTAACTGAAAATATATAAAAGGAAAGAAGAAATAAATTTTCTATGAAAAGGAAAAATAATTCGAGATGATCAAAAAAGTTAACATACTGGAAGACAGTGCGGCACTGAGGAATGAAGGTTGGTATCATCTACTGGGCAGAATTGTTTTGAAAACTGGATGAGATGTTTGCAAACGTATTCAGCAAATGTCATGCAGTAAATACATTGAAATTGAGAAAAATCACTGACTAAAAGACAGAAACCTGTTTTTCAGTGCTACTAAGTAAAGTGAAGTGGAAAAGAGGCCATGCATTTAGGATCCTCTTTCTTGGTCCTTTCATGATCCAGGAGCTGCTACTTGTAAAGCTGCTCTGTGGCAGATATTTCAATTTGTTTGTTTTCTTGACAACTTCAGTTATAAGCTTTGCTAATGCTTATAAGTTCCCACAGGAGAAAAATTGGTTAGTGAGGATTATGAACTAAAGGAAAATGACTTCGAGGATGGGTTGGTAAGAGTAGGATAAATTCTAATATTATACAAAAATAGTAAGATTATACTCTACATATTTTATACCAAATTAATTTCTCCTGTGCTGAGTACAGTAACTCATAAATCCCACTCACTCTGTCCCTAAGCATGAATGAAGAACACGAGAAAATACATCAGGGATTTAAATGAACGCATTTTTAAGTTAAGGAACTCATATTTGACAAGAATGGCTTATGTTTTAGGAAATACTATTTTGAATCAAATCAAAGTTGAAGTGGGTTTTTTCCCCCTGCTTTTTTAATCATGGAGGAAGAAGAAAAAGGCAAACATCGATTTCTGATGGTAAGCTTGCTCTGACCCTTCCCATTTTAGTCTGCAGCAAAGACCTCATTCAGTTCCTGAAAAAAGCCAAGCCCTCATCATGGTTACTTCAGATTATATAATGGGAGCTGCTCTGAACTATCCAAGCATAAAGCAGGTCTCCAAAAATTGCTCATATGCTAAAGCTTGATATTGTCATAAGTGTCTATAAATGCATACTGAATAATGTAAATTGGTAACCTGTTGACAATGCATTTGCATAAATCAAGTCAATATTCATGTAATAAATTCACCATTGAGCCTGTTCTCTTTCCTCGTACTGATCATTCTGTAGCTAGTAAAGTCCTAGACTAGGCTGGTAACTTTCGGTAAATGAAATGGAAAAACTGGCATCCTAGAAGAACAACTAATAAAAACCTAAAAGAATTTAGTGATAAGAAGCTAGTTCTCAAAAGGAAACCCCCCCCCCCAAAAAAAAAAATGACAAGACTCAACAATTCCACAAAGCAAGCTTTTCAAAGTCCATTCTTTCTCCCACATTATTACTGTCCTTATGTCTAACAAGTACTCTGATGAACAACTTATCATAAAGCTCCTTGCATTTTTCACAGTATAAAGGGGAAAAAGCCCAATAGTTCTTACCAAGTTAAAACCAAAAGACAGTCAGATCCTGAGAGTCAAACAAGTAAAGACGTAAGTAAAATGTCTTTGGCCATAAATCAAAAGCTAATGGGACCTGATCACGTGAGTCTGACCCTTTAATAGTATTCTCTTCTTGCTTGGCAACCCAAGTGAGAGAACAAAGTTTCAGGGTTATCTAAGCCTGTGCGAAGACTGGATGGTGTATTCGATGTTAGTGATAGCTATCACATTGCTGAGGAAAAGTTACATTAAATCAGGGAAAACTATTGTCACTAAGTCTAGACTTTTGTTTTCAGAGACAAGAAAATGTGAAATTTAAGCATCAGATATGATATCATGATCTATCAAGAAGACTTGAATATTTCTGGTAAATGTTCACAGTTCCTACCAGAAGTTTAGCTCCTTCATAGTGGGGGGTCTTATACTTTACTGCTGTCTCCCACTGTTGAGGAGATGCTCAGTAAGAGAGTCTTCACTGATGATTAACTCAGTAGAACTCTCAGGATGTAAACTATAGACTAAAAGAACTCACACACTGATGCCATATTTGGCAAACATTAAAAGGAACAGGCTTGTTGAGTGTTGCTACAAAGAGCAGAGGCAGATCAAAAGACAAAAACTACCAGGAAACAGATGAAAAACCATCAAAAGTAATAATAACAGTAGTCTTGTGAGACAGTAAAATATCTGCCACCAAAAAAGTGGTTTTTGATCCAATCCATTGGCTTAAATTGTGATTTCCAGCTCTGGTACTCAACTGGCTCATTCATAGTATCTGAGTGATGCCTGGAAATGTGCATTTTTAGCAAATACAGCTCTCATGTAGATAGAAAACAACATGTAATCCTGGCTAAACAACCGTACCTCAGCAAACCTGTGAACAGATTTCCTGCATTTGGTAAAAGTAACTCTTTTTTTTTTTTTTTTTTTTGAGATGGAGTCTTGCTCTTTCACCCAGAATAGAGTGCAGTGGTGCCATCTCAGCTCACTGCAACCTCCACTTCCCGGTCAAGCAATTCTCCTGCCTCAGCCTCCCGAGTAGCTGGGATTACAGGCGTGCACCACCATGCCTAACTAATTTTCATATTTTTAGTAGAGAAGGCGTTTCACCATGTTGGCCAGGCTGGTCTTGAACTCTTGACCCCAAGTGATTCATCCACCTTGGCCTCCCAAAGTGCTGGGCTTACAGGCATAAGCCACCACACCAGGCCAAAAGTGACATTTTTGAACTGAGGTTCATGTGAAATTTAAGAGTCTTTGTCTCTGTGAGATTATGTAGTTGAGTAAAATAAAGTAACAACCAGAACAACAACAATAACAATAGTAATACAGGAAACCTAAAAACATATATTACTTGAGACATGCTACAGTAGCATTTTTAAAGAACTCAGGCTCTGGATTTAAAATGACCTGGATTCAAATCCTACACAATTTACTAGCTCTGTGACCTTGAACAAATTACTTATCTTCTCTCAGTCTCAATTTCTTACAACAGTTAGCTAACAGAGAAATTATGTAGAGTAACTAACATTGTGTTACATAACACACAGTCAAAACTGTAAACAATGAAGAGTAATGGTACAAATATCTAAACAAATCTGACAAGTTTTTAAAAAAATAAATTCTGAAAGTAAAAAAGCCTCATAATCTCATTAATTTAAAATATATGTGGGGCCAATAAACACATAAAAAGATGTTCCACATCATTAGTTATCAGGGAAATGCAAATCAAAACCACGAAATACTAACTCACATCTACTAGGATGGCTACAATCAAAGAAATAGATAATAACAGTGTTGATGAAGGTGTGGAGAAACTGAACGCCATACGCTGCTGGTGAGAATGTGAAATGGAGCAGCTGCTTCAGAAAACAGTTTGGCATTTCCTCAAATGCTTAAACACAGAGTTACCATATAATCCACCAGTTCTACTCCTAGCTATATATGCATGAGAATTAAAAACAGTTATTCAAAAATTTGTATACAAATGTTCACAAAAGCATTATTCATAATAGGCAAAGGTGGAAACAATCTAAATGTTCATCAACTGATGACTGGACACATAAAATGGGGTCTATCCATATAGTGAATATTATTAAGACATAAAAGGGAATAAAAAGTAGTGATACATAGAACATGATGAACCTTGAAGACATCATGCTAAGTGAAAGAACCACATATTGTGTAATTCAATTTATAGGAAATGTTCAGAATAGGAAAATCTATAGAGACAGAAAGCACATTAGTGGTTGCTAGGGACAAAGTGAATGGAGATGGTATGCTGGTGACAGCTAAGGGATGTGGGGTTTCCTTTGAGGGTAACACAAATGTTCTAAAATTATTCTGATGAATGTACAACTCTGTGAATATACCAAAAGTCACTGAATTGTATACTTCAAATGGGTGAATCATAAGGTATATGAATTAAATTTCAGTAAAGGTGTTTTTAAAATAAATACATGTAATATATATTTGCGTAATAAAAAATATAGTATATATAGTTATTTTCTTCTAATATTGGATTTTCCCCCTAGAAGTAGCTCCTTATCACCGAGTTCTATAGGTTTTTCTTAGTCATTCTTCTAAAATATCACTCTTTTATTTCCATTTCATATATAAATATATATGTGTATGTATGTGTTCATACATATACAAAGAAGGAAAACATCCCTCTATAATACAGCTCTATAGTATAGTATCCACCTGTAGTACAGCTCTATAGTATAGTATCCCTCTATAGTACAGCCTTATAGTATAGTACCCCTCTGTAGTACAGCTCTATAGTATAGTATCCCTCTATAGTACAGCTCTATAGTATAATATCCCTCTGTAGTACAGCTCTATAGTATAGTATCCCTCTACAGTACAGTTCTACAGTATAGTATCCCTCTATAGTACAGCTCTATAGTATAGCATCCCTCTGTAGTATAGCTCTATAGTATAATATCCCTCTGTAGTACAGCTCTATAGTATAATATCCCTCTGTAGTACAGCTCTATAGTATAGTATCCCTCTGTAGTACAGCTCTATATTATAGCATCCCTGTATAGTACAGCTCTATAGTATAGCATCCCTCTATGGTACAGCTCTATAGCATAGTATCCCTCTATAGTACAGCTCTATAGTATAGTATCCCTCTATAGTACAGCTCTATAGTATAATATCCCTCTGTAGTACAGCTCCACAGTATAGTATCCCTCTATAGTACAGTTCTATAGTATAGTATCCCTCTACAGTACAGGTCAACAGTATAGTATCCCTCTATAGTACAGCTCTATAGTATAGCATCCCTCTACAGTACAGCTCTATAGTATTGCATCCCTCTATAGTACAGCTCTATAGTACAGTAATCCCTCTATACTACAGCTCTACAGTATAGTATCCCTCTATAGTACAGCTCTATGATATTCTTCATGCCCAGCACCTTTTCCTTTGGTAAACTGCTTTTCCCTCCATTCTATGTCATTCTAGTAGGGCTGTCAGTCACAGGAAATTCCCAAATCCCACTCCTGCCACAGAAACTGCACAGGAATTTCTGCCAATGAACTGTCTCAGCTGTTTATATTTCCATGCTTCCAGGGGCCTATTTACTCAGCTTGGCTTTTGATTCTATGATATAACCACATTTTATCCAATAAATCTCCTTCTTATTTTGCTTAGATAATCTCTGAGTTTAGTTTGCTTGCAATTACAAAACTCAATTTGATATACACTCTAAACTATTTTAATCTCTTCACCTGAAGTAATTCTATAAACAATTTGCTGTTAATCCTACCACAGTATTTTCTATGCACGTACAACTACACATCCACATATATATCTTATAATACTATACATAGTATTAAGGTACCATAATTGATTTTAGCATTCTTCTATTAATAATTCTAACTTAACTAAGTTTTACTTATTCATTTTTCTTTTAAAATCAAGGGGAATACAGAGAATCCATTAAAGAAATCATGTTAAAATCCAAGAAATATTTACGGAACAGACTTGGTAGTTGAAGGTCTTTTTTTTTCTTTTTTCACACAACTTTAGATAATATTTTTTAAAAGCTGAAATATAATCTCTAATCAATTTTTGTTTACAATGTAGTTTGGCAGGTAATATAGAAAAATTATAAAACAATTATATGTCAGGATATAAGCAAAATTGCATGACAATCATACCAGCTGAAGCCATGAAAATTCAAATCAATTTTATTAAATGTCAACTGTATAATGTTCTCTGATATGTGGATTGTATTGGCATTCAAAGGACCCTCCAAAAAGTCTATAGCTTAGCATACTTATAATCCAGTTAGTCAACATTTTATAATTGTCACAAATAGAAAAACTGATAAAACTTCCGGCAAATTTAAATATATTTAACACAAAAATGTTCATGACTTTTATAATAATACTTCATATTTATTAGTACTTACTAAATCTTATTATCTAAATTATTTTCAAAGCAATTCTATGAAGCAGGTATTGTTATAATCATCCAAGGGTGCCATTGTAGCTGTAACTGGCAAATAAGAGAATTGAAGTCAGGTCTTTCTATCTCTAAAATCCCTTTCTTAATCAATACCTGTTACATCAAAATTATTTTAACGACTAAACAGTTGAACTGAAGAGTTTTTATAATATCCAATTGCATTCTCACATCAATATTGACAAAAAAGCTGTTAGCAACAAATCTATTTTCTGAATCAGCTCAAAGACTTATTAAACTTGACATCTTCTTGTTACATGAGAAGTTGCAGTATCAGTTTCTTCAGCACTATCATGAAGGTGAATTCAGATTAATTCAAGCCATCTAGTTGACGTGCAATCTTTACGAACATAAAAACAGGTTAGTATACTCTCTTAATGGTGTGGTTATTCTGCATGAGAAACAGGTATACAATTCCATAAGAATACAAGATAATTTAAAACATACAATTACACAGTAGACCTTCCCATGTTTATACATATTTAATAATAACATTTATTAAAAGACTAATGACACCATTTTGAAATATACTTACTGAAAGGCTAATCCAGCAGTAGAATACAATCTGTTTATTAATTGAAGAACACAATACATGACATTTGTACACTGTAAGAGAAGACCAAAATTGCCAATAAAATATCATTCAAAACTTCAAGTAACCCTTACGGTTAAAAAAAAAAAAAGTCCTATTAAAGATAAGAAATACTATGTATAGTATCACTTCCTCACTTCTACAACATAATTCAAACTTAAACTGATACGTAAATGAAAATTTATATTCCAGTCAAAGAACGCACCCAATGAGAGTGCATAAATTATATATGTATTATGCAAGATAATAGTTGTTATAAATATCTAAATAAAAGTCATTTTAAAAACTGCAAAATATGTCAAGATGTTTACATGGTGAAATGAAATTTCATAATATGACACCTTAAAACAATCTCACGTTAGATTGCTGCACCTCAGAAAAGCACTATTGATATTTCACTGAGCCAAAAAATAAATAAATAATTCCCTTATCAAGTGAATATGGTGGAAAGGAACCATGCTGAAAGTCAAATAGAAATACCAGTCATTTTCTCAAATAATAATATATTATTAATAATAATACATATCTGAAGGCTTATAGTTTCAAGATCAGAAAATTCCAGAAATATAAAATGGCACATATTATCAAACTCTAAATAACAAAATTGTCTAACATGTAACTGCCTACTATTTGCTCATCAAGTAAATAAGAACTCATTTTGAGATTAAGAAAACTAGCAAGTTAGTTCAAGTCTGGAATTTTTAGATGAAACAACATTCATGAACAACTTTATTTTCTAACATTAATAACAGATTTCATACATTCACGTAAGTTTAGGTAAAAACAAAATCCATGTATACATTGCAAGTGGCAACTGTTCTCTACAGCTGATTTAGTATTATGAATTATCTAAATAAAAATCAAAAGTTACTAGAAAATAGTAAAATAGCTCCATTGAAACTCTTCTGTGCATATTCTGCAACATTAATTACCATAAAATGATTAAATCACTGCTAATTTATTTGTCAGGAAAAAAATAATACTTTATTATAACACCCAAAAAATTTGAAGGCACTTCACAGTATTATGTCTTTTTGTTAACACCATTCACAATGGTATGTTTATTAGTCATCACATGAAGGCCCTGCCATGAGAGTTTTTAAACATTTATTAAGAAATACCCTCTACATTCAAAGTTAGATGATATTTAATATCTTTACGGAATCTGAAATAGATTATATATTCATTGACTCCTACAACATGCTCGAGCCATATAATGATTTTTTGTCAAAGTATGAGCAAGCTAATCATGTGGTCCTCCTCACGCAGACTGATAACAACACTCAGAATGCAATAGAACCAAAACTATTCACCTAAATGGATGTGAAAGGACTAGTGCTAGGGTTCCGATTTTTCTTTTTCTTTAAAATTTTAGTCCCTTGAAATTTAACTTCTTGAATTAATATGCAGCTATTAAAAAACAGCACACATGTAATCAATATTTTTACAAACAGCTATTCCCTAGGGTTCCTTAAATATAAGCAGCAGAGGTATGCAAGATGGAAAATATCCAATTAGGTTTTCCTGGACCAATTTAGCTTGTCCAGCTATTGAATATTTTGACAATAAATAGTCACGCTTGAGTTTGAGAGAGAAAAATTAGCCCTTTGGTTAGCACTAAAACTAGTCTAAAATTGGCCATCTGGCTTGTCTCTGATACACTCTGATATCATATTTTATCATCAGAAATTGTAAAAAGAAATACCAGGCATAAACTGCTAACCTTAGAAGACAATTTAACCTCAGTTTTCTTCATCAAAAGTAACACAATCTGTTTCTCTAAGGTACCTGAGTTGATTCTAAGTGAAAAATATCAGGTTATTCTCACTACTGTTTTCCATGTTTCCAAAATGATAGAGCAAATCTGAGCACCTTATTTAAAAATAAGTGGATCTGAGAATAAAGAAAACCATGTTTTCACCCAGATGCCTGCATTTCCATCCACAAGTGCTGAAACAACACTGCACGAACTATTGTAGCTGATTAACCCAGCATAGTACTAGCAACAACATTAGTTTGGCATTAGTAGGGTGCAAAGTACAAAGGTCAGAGAGGGAAGTAGAGAAGGGCCAGACCACGTCATGCCTTACAGGAGATACTACTAAGTTAAGATTTTTTTTGACCTGTAAGACATGGGAGTCACTGAAAAAGTGAAAACAGAGGAGCAATGTAAGCAGAGACTGGATGAGATTTTTACTCTGCTAGCAGTGTAGAGCTACTTTAGTGAATATGGTATATCCCCTAGCCACGTGTCTACTGAGCACTTGAAATAAACCATCTAGTTTATTCTGGATAAACTAGATCAAATAAAATATATTATTATAATCAATACCACCTCTTTATTTTTAAATGTAGCTACTAGCATAGGTAAAACTGTATATATGCCTTGTATAATACATTTCAATTGGACAGTACTTGTGTAGATGAAAAACTGTGAGGAGGAAAATAACTAGCAATGATGAGAACAAGGTAGACTATTGAAATCACCAAGGTGAGAGAGGACAGTCTCATCCAGAATATTAAGAATGGAGAAGAACAGAAGAGAAAAGTTCAAGAGAAGAAAGAAAAGAAGATGCAGGACTTGGTGACTGATTGAATATAAGGAGTAAGAGAGAAGTCATGTGTTCATTCATTCATTCATTCATTCATTCATTCAAACACATCATTATTGCATGCCTAGGATATGCAGGTACCATGCTAGTCATACTGTAATGAGCTAAATGGAAGTCTGAAATGCTTACCAACTCTCTGGTTTGAGAAACTGTGGAAAGGATGTTATCACCCATTGAAATAGCAAACAGGAAAGAGGAACACTTTTATTATCATCAAATGTATCAAGTATGAAATGCGTGTAGGTTATTTAAGTGGAAATGTCTGGGAAGCAATTGGATGTCACGATCTGAAGTATAACAGAAATGCCTAAGCAGAAGCTAGAGAATATGGAATTAGCAGCAGACCCATAAAAGTGTTTGCTCCAGGAGAGGCTGTAGAGTGATAAGGTCAAGGGTCCAAGAAAGAACAGCAACACAAAAATTCTGAAGAGGAGAGAAAGGATCGACAGCAAGTTCACTAACAAATAGCCACATATGAACAAGAAAAATGGAGGAAGAAAATGTGGACTATAGTGATTGCAGACAGGGAACCCACATATCCCTCTAGGGTTTCTATCTATGCACATGTGAAGTAGAAAGACTGAAGAGAATAAAGAGGGTTTCCCTCCTGTCTATATAACCCTAATTAATTCCTTCCCAAGGCAAGGAAAGAGTAGAGTCTACTTCATAAAGAACAGAATCACAAAAACCAAGAGAACTTTTTAAGGAAGTAACATTCAATAGAATCAAATACAAAAGAAAAGTACCTAACTTCAGAGAAGCACTGAAACGTATACAAAATACCAAAAAAAATAAATAAATAAAAAAGTATTTGGCAAGTCAGAGATCACTGATGACCTTCATGAAGGCGATCCCAGTGGTAGGAACAAGCAAGACTGCCAAAGACTCCAAAGGCTAAAGAGCAAAAGAGAAGCAAGAAAGAACAAGTATAAACAACTGTTTCTAAAATCTTAACTATAAATAAAAAAATAATAAAGTGGTGAGCACAGAATCAAGGGATGGTTTGGGGTATTGTCATTTTTTATTTTGGACATGAGAGACCTGAGCATGTTCAAAAGCTCAGAAAAGCAGTCAGTACAGAAAAGTTGACTAAAGGGGCAAGAAATGGAATATGTAATGGAGCAAGAGCCTGAGGAATTGGGAGAGAAGACCTAGAACACAGATGGACAGGCAATCCTGAACAGAAGAAAGAACACTTCTTCCTCCAGAAATGAAAGTGAAGGTGGCTCAAGAGGCAAAGATAAATTCAGATGCAGGTAAGAACTCTAGTTTCTGTATTAAAATATTACTCAGGTTATATGGTAATTACTGGGCACCTTTGGCTAACAGTAGCTGCAAATGTGGTTCCATACTTCCAAGGATTTAATATTTACAGCAAATATTTTAAAGCCAAGGACATAGATTCATTCAGGTAGGGGAGAATCATCTTCAGTCTACTCTGTGGCCAGTGATCTATACTCTAACACACAAAAAATAAACCTGTGAGAAATGATTGCCATTAGTCATAAAGAGGAATGGAGGAAGAAAACGTGGACTAGAGTGACTGGGGACAGCGAACCCACGTATCCCTCTAGGGTTTCTATCTATGCACATGTGAAGTAGAGAGACTGAAGAGAATAAAGAGGGTTTTCCTCCAGTCTATATAACCCTAATTAGTTCCTTCCTAAGGCAAGAGTCATAGCTATCATACTTTGCCACATTTAAACCTTTTGGGTGGAGTTATTGTGCTTTAAAGAAATGAGCCCAGATTCTCCATACCTCCACTCTGCCTGTTTCTGGGAGTGGTAGGCATGCCTAGGCAGGATGTGGTTCTCCAGGCTGAGTGGTCATAATTATTTTGTGTGATTAAAAAGAATCCGTTGGCCTGCCCATCATCATCTCTACTCTGCTCCAGTGTCTCCACCTACAAGTGAATGTGTGAAGGGTACTGGGCTTCACTGGACCAGAAAACCGAGCTAAGCCTACAAAACCAAGCCTCATGATCCAACACTCTTCGCTGAAAAAGCCAGACACTGAGGGCTACCCAGAATTCGTCCGCCTTTTAAACAGCACTTTATTTCCCTGCTGGCTTCTATACCTTTTATAAATAATGCTTCAGTCCAGAATCCCAGAAGGCAGGAGGGGTAGGTGGAGGATTCAATAATCAAAATCTCACCTTCAACCTCCAAAAATCCTAGTGACAAACTGAAATATGCACTAAGTACTCCTGCCTCTTTCTTTTTCATGTTTTTCCTCACTCTGCCCCTTCTGAAATCCCCCTCCTTCTACTTTTATATGTTCAAGCCCATGAATATTCAGTTAATATGTCACCTTATCAAGGAAGTCTTCTCTGAACTGTCCAGTTACATTTCAATATCACTGCCTCATCTATGCTCTTGTGCTCATTTATATCTCAATTAAGA